TAACAAATATTTGCCAAAATAGAGATGATATTAGCAAATTTATCATGATGCTTTCTTCCACTATTCTATGAAGTATTTGAACTTCTTAATGTGTATGCATGGAAACAAAAGGTTTGTGCCTGATAAATGATTATTCAATTGGTCTCATACTGATCTAGCCTTATTTAACAAGAATTCTTGTTTAAAAATGTAGTACAGTAGAAAGCAATTATCTTGTATCTTCAGGTCTCATCATAAAAATATAACTTGTACTGAAAGATTGGAAACATTTTTCTATTATAAGTTTTACTTCCAATGTAGTAACAGAGATAGCAATATGAATTTTACTTTGCTCCCTCTTTATGCATTTGATCAGCAAACAGAAGGACTATAAATCATTTATTTTAAGGTATTCACTATTGTAATGCATTCCAATTCAATAAATATAATGAATCATAGCTTTTTCACAGTTTAAAAGTATGTAAAAGTATATTCGTCCATTTCTATATAAATTAAATTTCTTCATATTATATCTATTGGTCTAATAGAGGAAGTATATTTTAAAACAAACCAAAACCATCTCTTTTTAGTCAGGAAAATAATTCTTAATACCACAGGTAACAATAACTTTGGGATAAATGCAAAATCACAACAATCAATACAGAATCTGGGTTTTATTTATATGTTACTGCCGAGAGGAAAGAGTTATTATGGAGGAACTACAATATATAATTACATATAATGTCAAAAACTATTCCAAAGCAAAGTAATGGGGGGGGGGGTTGTAACAGAATAGAAGCTTCTAATTAAAGAAACACTCTAGACAATGGAGAACAATGGGAGGTAATGTGAAAAACAACACAGAGAATGCATAGATTAAGGAAGACAAAAGCAATGAACAATAACCCATTTCTTTGTTAGAAAAAGGAAGAGGAGGCAAAGATGCTCTTCGTTTAATATTCAACTTAGTCATTTATTTATTGATCTCAAAGATTCAATAGAATGGGGAAGTGTCCCAAATGGCACAGAGTTTCATTGTCCTGTCTTGAAAACAGCCATGTATAGATAAGATTTTTAAATTCAATTTAATCAAGCTATTGGTGTCCAATAGCTTTTCTAGTGAAATCCACTTGCTGATTTATTTGTGGTAATACAATTTTGTAATACTAGTAAGCTTTATAATGAAATATTGTAAAGTTCTGATCAAACTAAGTCAGTTCAAATCTGTTGATAACAGCCAATATTTATCATTGTCATGAAATGTTATATTTGCCATTGCAACGATTACTCAGCTGTGATAGTTTCATCTTCTGGTAAATCATAATACACATCAAAGCTACATTTTTAAAACAAAGGGGGGGAAACCCAGCACTATAGCAATTTGTGCCTTTTTTTTTCTTTTTCTTTTTTAAAAGGAGGGGGAAGGCAGATAGAAGAACAAGAAAAATGTAAGGCAGTATGATAACCATTATATGGATATCCCATATAATAGTATAATAGTCATCCATTAGAACCAGGTATACAAGGGTCATTAATTGCAAATAAGGAATATCATACTGTATAATACCACATTAAGGTCTGGACTGGTGTTAATAATGAGCAGAACATCAGAAGCAGAATGAAGTCCTAAACTGGAACTTGACATAATGGATGTATGAATAAAAATAGTTATCAAAATGTGTAGTTAATATAAGCTGCATTAATGAACTCTATATAATCTGTGGTTCAGATTTAACAGCCTACCCAACCCTATATCCCCTATTAATCTATTAAATCAAGTATTTATTGTATTGACTACTTTTCCAAGGATGAGTAGACTGCCATAAGTAGCATATTTTATCTTTTAATACACTGTAGCTCTAATTTTAAAAGTGACATTTTCATAGATTAAGTATCAGAATCTTTTTCTGACTAGTTATTATTTTTCTTATTTGACCTACTTTCAAGACTAAGCCACTAATTAAGGTTTTTGTATGTTTTTAATGAGTTGGGGCAATCTATCTTTTCTAAAATTTTGGGAATCCAACATTATTTGTAAGATTTGTGAATGAAGTCAATACCTGCTAACAGAAATAATTGTCTTGGGATGTAATTTGATCTACATATTCTATAACGGATATTCTTCAGCCAAAATATATAAATTCCAGGCCTCTACTGGGTTTCTTTCATTAATTGGCAATACAGTACTACCAACTGCAAAGCGGTATCAAGCATAATGTATAATGTAATAATGTTCAGTTAACAGAAGAGCAGATTGTCTTGTGGCAGGATGAGATGTCCTACTTGGGTCAGAGTTGTAAATTAGTCTCAAGGTTATGTCTTTGCCTATTTGCCAGATCCATGCAAAGTGTCACACAGATGCTAGAAGCTTCCTGCCTAATTAATACAACTGACAGAAGGGATGTCTGCCTTTGGGGGGAAATATATAAAATTGACAGAACTGTTAGGTAATGGAGGAGGTTGTGTGTTTGTGCTGTGTGAGTCAGAGGAGAAAATCTGCAGTTGAGGACTAGCAAGAGCAAAAGAATCAGAAAAAGCAATTGGCAGGGCAATCTGGCTGGAGAAAAGGACAGCAGTGTTTGCAAGGACAGATCAGGACTTTGACAAAGGTCCTGGAATTCTAAGAAATTCAGAAAAGAGTTGTCTTCTCTTTTCCCATTCTCTTCTTAAAGCAAGTCCAAGAAGTGAAAATAATTTGGCTGTGTAACAGAGTAAGCATATCAAGGTTGTGCTAAGAAGCACATGAATCAAAGAGAAAGAAATAAGACAGTTAAGTTACTAAAATGCTCTGTAAAGAAATGTCTGTATGAAAATGTTTGTACAATTTATTAAGCAAAGGGAGGAGGCAGGGTGAGAACGTAATTGTAATTTAGAGTACAGTGTGTACATATATGTGTGTGCCTGTCTGTCTAGAAAATCCCTGACATTTTCCCATCCTTTGACTTTCCTGTTATCAAAAGGTACAGATTTCTCTGTACCTTTTTCGGTACATTCTGACATGGTTCCATTTTAAAACCATTATACAAAAAAGTTATTCCGAATGAAGAGTTCTGCAAAGTCTCAACTTCCTCTTCCCAAAAACTTTTGCAATGTTAGAAAGACATTGTTCCATGGGGGCTCCTTTTGTCTTCAATAGATTCACTCCGCTTCCTCTGATGTGTTCTTTATGCTTACCTTTAAGCTACAATCTCCTTAGCATAAATGCTGCTTCTCTCTTTATATATCATATATAAAGATGATTCTATAAGGTAACAATGTTTCCTCAACAATGTGTCATTTATAACACAGGAATAGTACAACTATTAAAAATACTGAATACCTTCCAATAGCCTTTCATACTTTTCATAACAAGCAGGAAGAATCTGAATAGTATTGTTAAAGCATAAATAACGGGAAACTGCTAAAACCTACAATTTTTTGTTAGTTGGCCAATGCAAACTGTCCCATTTGAAGCTCTAAGCTAAGGAAAAAAATACAATATATGAATTTATACCTAAGGTGGGAATGATCTGCATTACTTTTCAAGCGTATCTCTCTTTGATGAGATATCAGTTTCAAAATTGTTGAAACCACTACTCTAAACGTGAAAGTCTGAGTCATTTGTATCAGTTTGATTGATTCCAAGTTCATAAAGCTGCCTTAGAGCACAATGATGCTAGCTAAAACCCAACAACAGTAGTAGCATCAAAATGATTTAAATTTGCGAATTCAACCTTCAATTTTTTAATAGCAAGCTTGGCCATGATCCAAGGAAAATATATGTAATACAAATTATACACTTCTGCTCATACAATGGGATTGTCCAGAGCGTATTTGAAAAGTGGTAGGGGAATCAAACTGATACTAGATGCAATTTAGTGGCTGAATGGTATACTTTCTAAGCAACATCTGGTGGACTACTTCAACAGATCTACAAGTCCGACAGAAAAACATCCAAAACTAAAAGAAGAAAACGGAACAAATAATTGTTCACAGATTTATATTCAAGCACTGCAAGGAAGCTTGTTGGATTATGATTTATCAATACTGCATTTTAGGTGTTTTTAAGAAGTTTGAGAACGCAGGTAATCTTCAAGTTATGACCACTCATTCAGCCACCATTCAAAGTTGCAATGATGCTGAACAAGGTGAACTCACAACCAGCCCTCCAAGTTCTGGCTGTCACAACATCACCCCAAGATCATAATCTGGGCACCTGATGAAAATTTACTTGATTACTTTACCTCAGTGTCTGGAATTGAGTTAAATACTTTCCATCTCTTTACATTGGAGTTTCTATGGGCTTTATAGTATTTGATCCATCTGCTTCCTACTAAGCAACAGGATGTTTTAAACAAATGTACATATATGAAAAAAAGGGAAAATTAAGATACCATGTGAATTTCTTCCCCAGAGTCACTTTCTGCCCAGCCTTTTTATTTCTCTTGCGCTTCCTTCTCAAGCAATTGTCTTCATCTATTGTTCATGTGTTAGGTCTGGGCGTCTGAACCCAGAATGATTACCTTGTCTGATAAATCTCTTCTTATGCTAATCAATTTTGCCTGTAGCTTTTTTCTTTATTTATTTATTTATTTATTTATTATTTGGATTTATATCCCGCCCTTCTCCTCGTAGGACTCAGGGCGGCTGACAATCAATTAAAATACATAAATAACAATACAAATTTAAAATTAATTAAAAGAGATATTTAAATATTGTCAAATTTAAAATATAATTAAAACCCCTCTAAAAATTACCCTAGGCCAGTCCTGCA